ACTGTGTGGTGTGCTGTAAGACAGCAGCATGTCATGAGACAGCAGACAGTATGTCATTACTAGTTGTCGTGGGGCCACTCCATGGTGCGCTGTAGCGATACTGTGACGTCGTGAGGAAAGCGTCAGGATGTGACAGGAACAGAGGAAGTGTTTCGGCTTTTGTAGACGAGGACTTGGGCACATATCTGGGCGCATGGATAGGGCGTGGCCAACTAGTTGTGAACTTGGTAGCAAATTACTATGACCAGTCCAAAGGGAAGGGCGAGCAGGGGAAAGCAGGCAACATGGGAAAACGGTAATGCATCTCTGACCAGGCGACCTCACTTGTGGCAGCAACTCTCAGCACAGTTCCACTCATAAAGTCCAATTTATAAATTGGATATAATATATTTTTATACTGACTGCGAACTTATCGATGCTCTATTTAGAATCCTTCGATGATTGTGGCACTCCCATGAGAACGATTTGGTGTATTCTCCATTCTGAAAGCACTTCGACTTTGCTTCGGAGCATTCCTACATTCCTTACACAATGCAAGAGGGTCAAGTGATGAGTGTACTTTCGACTCCTCAGCAATCTAAAGTATTTCGGGAAGTTCAATGAGCGCACGTGTACATAATAATGTGAAAAATTTCAAATTGATCATTCAAATGTAATAAAGTTTTCGTCTCAGTTCTCCCTCAGCTAGCGACTGTCGCTTTTTAAGTCTGTAACTGAGGGAAAAAGGGGCGCCGCAGCGTGAGCGGTGATGCTGGAAGAGTCGAGGCAATGAAGAGACAGGTAGGTATGTATAAGAGAGGAGAATGGACACCGAGATCGTCGGAACCCCCTTTTTCGCCCGACGATGGACGTCACGGGACGAACGGTGTGAGCTACCGCACCGTACGACGCGACTGCTCTCCAGGACAAGCCCTCGTCAGCAGGTGCCAGCTGAGAGCTCATCACTCTTGTAGACTTCACATCAAGAGGTGCTACATTTGACCGGTGGTCAAGAACGGCGAGTAGCTCACTTCACCAGAAAAGGGAGTTCTGTACTCTTCAAATCAATTTTTGTATTTGTGAAATGCCACTCATATAGTTGATAAGGTCGCAATCGGTCGGGGCGGTGTGAGGGGGGGGGGGGGATGAGTCGGCCTCTGATTGTCTTGCTCTACCAATGGCGATCGGTTAGTGAGATTCGGGAAGGAAACAGCTTGAGGTGGAAATGTTGCAGGTGGACTCATCCAGCTCTCCTGACACGCGCACTCCAAGCGGCCAACGTGAGGGGACACAGCGAACATACGATATTGCGTGAAGGGGTGAACTCGGAATGAGGGGTGTCTGCGTCGTACAGGACAGACGAAGAGAACTCAGTACACAGAAAAGTTCAATTCTCCTGCGTACTAAATCAAATAAATTTCTCGAACGATCTGTTTGCTAACATGTTTAGCTTGGATTCAAGATAAAACTTGTTTTAAGAGACTGACGTGTCGGCGATGTAGTAATGGTCGAGATGGTATGAATGATATTACATATATAGGGTACCTAGTTCTGTTATCTCAAGGAGTTCCGGAGGGTCTAATAGGGGACATGCAGATCAAACCCTGAACCTCAGGGCCACTGTGTGTGCAAACATGCACGGTCTAGCGCCCTGTGACCCCCCCCGCTCTCCCCGCTTGATGCAACGGCGTACTAAGCTTTTTACGCCTAGAGTCCTGACTATCCCTACTCCAGGCTCTGAAATGGCGCTAAAATAGCCCTCTTTATTCAGTCACGAGCTTAACGGTGGCAAAGTTGTTTTCAAATAAAGAGGCTCAAAAAACACACAGATTTATTAAACAGGTAAAAGAAAAAACAGCGGGCATGAATATAATCATTTTATAGCTGTTGCAGGCACAAGAGAATACTTCTATCTGATTTAAAATAACGAACCATACTGCAGCACGTACATAAGAAGAGCTTATCTTATATCTAAGGAACTCCGATGGAATTAAATAAATACAATGAGGTTTGATGATTCTCTAAGACGATCCATACAAACTTAATTTATCGACAAACTCCAAAAAACGGTGCAGGCTGTGCGGTTCCACCAATTTTATTTTTTACACTTCAGTGTGCTCTATACGGCTGGAGGCAGTTCGACGAAGCGGGGCGGGCGCATTTTGCACTTTTCGCTACTTCCTACCAATTCGAGCGTGTCGTGATGCTAATCTAAGGACGCCTCATCTCGAGTTGACAGTTAACCTGTGATGGCTAGCAAATGAGCTTGCTCCCAGCTTCAGCAAGAGTTTTACAGGTTCGGCGCAGAGTGAGACTTGTAAACCGAAACCGCAGAGGAGCATATGAGAAATGCCCCGGCCCCGCCGTCAAAACTGCATCTAACGGCCTTATTAGTGGGTGAACGAACATTCAATACATTCGAAATTATATGTTAACTGGCCTATAAATGATGAGCAAAAAGTAACATATATCAGAGTAACAATGAGATTCTACTGACCACAAGGGCACCAACATTCTACCAAAGGGCACCAGCATTCTACGTACATAACAAATCAATCAAAATAGATATCCCAAAATGACGGCTGCATATTTTGAGAGCCTTGAGCTACCAAGAGAGTTATATTGTTAGCAGTCGTCTTCATTGTGGCGTTTAACACGTTCCGGACCGCGTGACACACATGGTGTGTCATAAATTTTAAGGCGGTGTTTTATTTAAGATCTCATTTGGGCTCTCACTTTCATGTTCCGCGGTATTGATGAAAACAACATAGGCTTATAGACACATAGATAACTATATGCCTAGAGGGCAATCCCCCGAAACGGCGAGCGACAATCTACTCGAATGAACCTCTCACTGAAAAATGATAAGTGATCCAGGAGAGGCCTCAGTACGCGTGGCTCCCCCCGCACCACTGTGTCAAATTCTTCGTCCTCCTTTGAATGGTCATCGACCGCCTTTCACTTCCGCTACCAAGAAGGCGCCAATCAATCGATATTAGGCCAGAGGTTTAGTGAAGACTAGTAAGCTTCAAAGAGTGTGCTTTATTTCTTTTTGGGGCTTTCAGGTTCATAGCACGGCGCTTAGCCTACGCCTTAACGCCGGACCCCCCTTATTCAAGCGTTACGCACGGCCATATTCCGAAGTCAAGGTTCTGGACAGACTGTCCGACACTTTTACTACATAAACTCTTCCTTCCACTATCCACTAACGCGCCGGCTACCAAAACGTTCATCCCCTGTCACGTCGTGGCCCGCCCAACGATGGTCCACACCCCTTCGAGCGCCCCCCCCCCCCGCCGACTCCCTGCCCACATACCGTCACTCCTCGGCATCCCCTAATTAGGCCCTTTCAACTCCACTTCATTATCATAAAACACAGCAGCAAACCTTCTGGATCAAGTTTGCGCTGCGCCCCTTAGACGGGGAAGCGCCTCCGGTCGTCGTATTGAAGGAGAGCCGCTCCGGCATCTAAGTAGCCGGAAGCGCGGCCGGCGGGTGATTGATCGCAGATAGTACCCGCCGCGGCCGCGTCTGTGCTACGTCTCATGAACTTGAATTGCTCGCGATTCTTCACTAAGCGTCGTACCAGTCTTTGACATATCAGGGGCGGTTTTTTTTTGGGGCCGCAAACAAGAAGCCCGGGCATCTTGATTGTGTGAATATGGCAATGTAGATTATGACGCGCACGCCGCCCAAATTTAACTCTCCGCTGGCCTCTCAATTCCGCGCCTCATACCACGCTACCATTTTTCGCTGGCCAACGCCTCTCTGTCACTCTTTCCAGACTTTCCAGAAATTTCCCTTTTTTTGAAGGTACTACGCGTGCGAATAGGGTGAATTGTTCGTGACTCAGTTTTTGAAAAATTAACTGTTAGTAGCTGTTCTCACCTGGTTCTACGTAGTGGTTCTGTGCGCGGTGATGAAGGGCAAAACTTCCTTATCCCTCCCTCGGAATCGGAGTAAGAGCGCTGGCTCTTTGAGGGCATAAGGCAGCAAGACTGGGGTTTTGCTCCAGGTGGGATACTTCAATTTGAAAGGCACTACACAATTTGTTCTGCGTTTAGATGTAGGTCATGGTTTACTGACTTGAGCTCCAAGGAAACGACAGTACTCGTGCACAGGCCAACCTGGAACACCGCGCATATTTTCAAGATGAGAGGTATGAATGGCAGTGCCCACGCCTACCCGATGAACCGCGAGATCCCAGGATTTCGAGTATATCACTATAGATGCGGCAAAACATTCGTGAAACGTTGACGCCAGTCAAAGAAAAGAATCGTCTAAAGACAAGGCCGGACAAAATTTTTACTGGCGGCTGGGCGCTGCGGGTACGACCCCGCCCTTCCCCCAAAAGCAACACACTACATATTGGGATGGGTTGTTGTATTCCCCACCCAAATCGATGCTGTCCCTTTGTCTTTGGTGGTCATTTATGATAGAGTTTACGCTAATAGCGCGCACTGCATGTACAGTCATCATCCCGGACGACCGCTGACTAGTTGCGGCCCAGGTCGCGACCGCGCTAAGGGCGCGTCACGACGCTGCGCGCGCCAAGCGGATCAGCTGTATAGGTCCTAGCTTATGGCCGATGTGTGCGATCCCGAGCTAATTTCTGCCTGTATGTTTCTATTTTTTCCGATCTTAAGAGCCTGTTAATATTGCTCTTGTGGAGTACATTGGCAAGATTAGAGCCTTCTTTTTTGCTTTTGGCAACAGAGTGTTTCGTGGCGATTTTTTTTTCCAGGTATTTGTTCAGTTGTCTGCTTAGTTGCTTAACTAAACGCAAACAAAAATCAGAGGAATCTCAATCATAACTTACCTTATGAAGACAAGGAACAACTAATCTTGAGAAAAGCAGCCAAAACAGTGTAAAGGGAGAATGGCTAAAATAGGCTGGAAACAGCTGATCGCCGCGCTCGTGACACGACGCAGCCGCTTCGCGACCCTTGGCCGCCTAATCAAGTGCCCGGATGGTGACTTATGGATGAACATCCGAACGATTTTAAGTACTGCGCGAAAAATCAATGGAGATATTTTGCCATTGGAGTGACACCATATTGATTGAAAGCAGTTTCATGAATAAAAGAATATTCACATAAATGATGCCATGCTCCGTTGATCTCATAGGAATACATCCAATAGCCTTGCCTGGAGATATCGCGAAGAAGATAGACAGTCTCCGATGGGGTTCCGTGCACTTCGATAAGAATCTGAAAGCGGAAATCCTCTAGTAAAACACATTAGCGACAGCGAGCGTTCCCAGATTCAATCGCTGTCCCTATAGAGATCAGCAGGTTTTTAGAAAGATTACTGTCTCAGTACACTAGTGTCAACTGTATCCTTTTCTATTAAAAGCAGTCGAATAAATCAAAGACCGTATCTTCAGCTGACTCGTGCTGGCCTACGGTGTGTTACTGTCTTCTTGGCGGCCGATGGTGAGGGATGTTAAAGAAATGGATCTCGCGTAGCGCCAGCCAAATTTCTCCTTCGCCGAGAAGAGAGACCATGTCAACTCTTTCGCATCAGTCGTTTTCACCAACTGTTGCTACTCACCGCTCCAGCAGCTGGCACGATTTCGTTCGGCGCGGCGCAAAACTCGTCAAATGAAACGCCCTTCAAAGGCAGTTGGCACGATAATTTGGTACTCAGCCTAAAATGCTAGCAGGGCGCTATATAGTGGGAAAATGGCGAAAAAACGAAGTGAAACGGTCAAAAACCTGCGAAGAAAAGCCTTCGTTCTCAATGACTCAAAAAACAATTTCGGACGAGTTTCCCGTAGGCATCTTGCCAATAACCTACGGCTGGTATGTACTCATATATCCATGCAGCACCGCAGCCGCTTCATACCAATCCCTTCGCTTCATATTTTACTTAGCAAATGAAGCAATACGAGCATCAGGTACGGTCGTCCATTTGTGGGCGGGCGGGCGCGGTGGGCGTCGGGTCGGTATGTTGTAGCTTGATAGGGCCTTATAAGGGCACCTTAAGGCGCTACGCAGCGCCTGCTCAGGGTCGCGGAATTCCGTCCTGCCAGGCGTATTAATCCTACTCGTCTTAGGGGTTTATCGTGCCAACTGCCTTCAATAGAAAAACTGTACAGCCTTGTTCGTTGGCGGATCTTGAGGCGTGTCAGAGGGGGTAAATTGATGCTGCGCCAGTACGCTCCCCACCAGTTGTTGAAGCATGTAGGCGACAACATTGGTGGAAAGCGGACTGGTCGCGCGTTAATCCCAGCCTCGCAGACACGCCCCATCATCTGGAGGGAGCAGCACAGTAAGCTCCCTAGCAACTGCATCAATCGATGAGCATGCATCTCAGTACAAAAAGTCGGACTTCAAAGAGACAAAATGTAAATAAAGAAACTTCCAAAGAAATTATTGGAATTGGAACTATACCTGCGCCGGCTTATGTTTCTGAAGCAGTAGTGGGACTACTTGGAGTTCGCTTCCTGAAACATTTCAATGAGTCTAAGTGATTTTCTTTCATGTTTATCGACGTTTCCAACGAATTTTCAGACATAAAAGCCGATAAGCTGAGAGGGTGAAAGTTGCCCTGGTGGCGTAACGGATAGCTCACTAGCCCGAAAAAGCGTGAGGTGGGGGATCGACTCCCGCCTGGGTTCAACTTTTATCCATAACTCAGCATTCTTGTGATAACACTCGGAACGCGAACTGCGGCGTAAAACAGCAGTTATCATAACAAACAGCTTTCAAAACAAAAGACAAAGCAGGACAAAAATCAGCGTTGATGTACTTCGGTGCGAAATTATATGCTACACATCTGACCTACCTTCAATGTCAAGTTTAAGTATTTCAAAGCTCGTGATTCCTTCAAGTTTCATTAGATCGTCTATTGTGTATTGTTTCTTGTGCTCGTTGGTCTCTATAGAGATTTCAGCGACTCTCACTCCAGCGTTCATTTTTTTCAGTATAGCCGTTGTGCGATCTGATTGCTCATTCTTAATTAGGAAAATTATTTAGTTATGAATATGGTGTATCACTCGAAGTGAAAGAAAAATTATCTAAAATAAGAAAGAAAAAAGGGTGGGTCAAAATTCACTGGTGCACAAGTATGTTCGATGGTGATGTCAATCTTCAGCAATCAGTTTTGGATATTACTGGGCGATCAACTGAGTACTAGCAGATATCAGAATGATTGCCTCTGGAGACAAACTGTGCCCTCACCTAAAAGGACGGTCGTACCGTACGCGAAATGGATGCGTCCGCAGCTGCAGAAGCGTACCACTTTCAACACTCAAGAATGAACAGAAACTAGGCTGGAGAGAGATGATATTGGTGCCGGCTCTTTACTCCACCCTCTTTACCCTCAAGTCGCAGCAGTTGCGCAGTTACCAAGGTCCCACAGCGAAACACATAGAGAACATCAGCAATGAGAGGGCGCAGATAAACAGTGCACTTGGCTACGATCGGGAATGCGGCTGGCCGCGCCGCAGCGCGAGGTGGAGTATGGAGACGGCACCGGGGTTTCACTAACCTTCAGCGCCCCTCTCTTTCGTCCCTGTGTTGAAAGTGACAAGACACAACACTTTTGAAATCCGCTTTATCGGAAAATCATCCAGTGAATCTCACCACTGCTTATAAGATTCAACTGCACAATAGGAACTGACGAATAAATGGTCCATATTGTGCCAAAAAAAACAAAGATTAAAAGTGGTTTTAGGAAGTTAATGTTGAAATGCCACCGGAATTCCAGTGCACCAGTAGTTTTACCCCGAACTGAAAGGAAAACGTTTCAAAGGAAAAAAGCTTTGCTGAGGCGTACCATGTCGTAGACGAAGAGTTTACATCGGTGGTCAGTTATATGTTGAAACTCTTGTTCAAATGTTATCTCATTGTACACGCCAACCGATAGTATGTTGCACTTTGGAGGGATACTGAAATTATGCAACCTTTAATGTCTAGTTCCAGAAGTTCTCGAAAGGTGAGAAACGGCTCTAAAAGTTCATTCAAGTCTCACAGTTATAGTTGTAAGATTGCAATCAGTGGGAAGGGGGTGGTGTGAAGGGGGCGGGATGAGCCCGCCTCCGGCTGCTTTGCTCTACCAATGGTGATCGCATTATGATCGATTAGGAAAAAAGCAACCAGTGGTGGATGGGCCGCAGCTGGGGGTCAGTTCTTCCCTTCTTGAGACCTACCCGACTGGTTGTTATGATACCAAATGTATTTACAGTCATGTCCTCTGTAAGCGACGTAGTCCTGTAAGTATCCTCAGCGTGGCATGGAGTGAACGGTCTGGACTGGTCCAAACCGCACATACCAATGCACTGGGTGCCACGTCAGAGCCTGGCAAGCTACGCGTGGTCAAATTTTTCACGCCGAAAACAGTAATAAATATGGGCCTCATTCCCCTGAACCTGAGGGAACCACCGACAGGGCGACGTCGGCTGGGACCGCTCGGGCGAGGCTGCAAGAATCACAGGGCCAACGGAGACTGGGGCAACGATCTGTACTTTCGGAAATGTCTTTATCCGGAGATAATGAGAACGAGAACTTTGCAACTATCGATCTCCGCTCCTCTAAATTGAGTGAGGCCTGTTCTATGAAAAATCCATTGCAAATGTGTTCTCTGGTGTGGAAGCTCCACAGCTGTTGGGTTGGTTGCAACCCCTTTGCGTAACCCGATACACTGTCCGGTCAAAAGACTCACCTTCACTTGACATAAGAAGGGATGATAGTAATTCTTTTTTTGCCACTGAGAAGTAATATCGAAAAATCCTTCATTACCCGAAGAGATTAAGCATCATTCTATTAGCTCTGCAGATACTGCAAACGGATTCTCTGAAGCCAGCGCAAACCACACCACCGCTTTTAAAATCTCGAAATGCTCCATTTCGCATTTACAATATCGAAAAGAAAGTAATATATGCTTATGACGCCCAGCCAAAAATGCTGAAAGTGCAGAAAGTGGTGGACGTGGAGTAGTGACAAGTGTGGTGTCCACTCGTGCGAGTCCTCGGTTCGAATCCCAGGTCGATTTCCACTTAGGCCGACCATGCATTTTACCTCGTCGGATAAAACACTGACTTGTACATCGGCTGGCCACCGCAAGTCATTGTATAGGCCACATCACAATAAGCCACTACGATTCTGAATGGAAGTAGAATGCGTGCCGCATCCCACAAAGGGATTGATCAACGGCGAAGACTTTATCCCTCATACTTGTCCTTTATAATATATCAATATTTGAAAAAATCGATTGAGTGAGGAAAAATGGAAAACCACTTAACGAGTTCTGGCTACTGCTATAGTTCTAGCGGCTGCTGACACGATAATTCGAATCACTACAGAAAACCGGAGTGGTGGTAGGTACAGCATCGTGATAAGTGAAATGGTGGTGTCAGTACGACCCCGCCACACCTACCTACTGATTTCCGACATTTTCCAGTTTTTCACCCAAAGATTTTTCGTCGAGGTGGGATGAGCGGGGAGAGTGCATATATAATAGTATGTACGCATGGAACAGGAAAAATCACGAAAAATCATCAACCGAGAAAATTTTTTCCCACGCCACAAATTTCACCCAAAGGTACATACTACCCCCCCCCCCCTTCCCCTCTCCCAACAAGGACCAAATACGCCCCCCCCCCCCTCTCAGGCCGAAAGGTACGACCCTCCTATCTGCTTCACACAACGATGCTGTACTCTGAGCGGTGGAGCTGATCAGTGCGAAAGTGAAGCGAAAAAAGGAAGAAATGGAAAAGGTACGGTCGGAATGGGGCTTACTGAAACTCTTGATAGAAGTGGCTGCGATTAGCTCAAAGTAGATCATCTCCAATTAGCGACTAATGAGGGAAAATCACGGTAATTGTGGCATAACAGCGAAAAATCATATGTAACTTCCGGCAATAATAAGCCAATAAACGATATCAAAAAGTGTTTTCAACGAAATTAAAGACATACTAAGGGTATTATCTTGAAGCGCCGGTAGAATATTTGTGGTTTTAATAAAGAATTAGCGGAAAAAAGCAATGAAAAGTTCAGAGATCCAAAAGAAGGAGCAATATTTGCAGGGTAACTCTGCAGGTATATACTTTCATTTAATACCAGAAGTGCTGTTCTAGCTCTTGGATTTCATCAGATAAGAAATGAGAAAAACAAGAAGGTGTTCTTCAAACAGACCGGAATGGGCTACAAATCCATTTTCCGCCATCATTGGTCGTTCCGACTCGTAATAATTCTGGACAGTACGCCTGGAAGTGCCACCTAGTCAAACCTTGGAAGGAGAATATTGAACAGGGACATAGTTTGAAAATAGAGGTGCTTTTATAAACCCCTATTTTTTTCTGAGGTGGGAGGCAATTTATTTCGACGGTCGCGACAAGTGCGCAAATGTTTCTAAACAGAGCGAGCGGTTTTCCAGTAATTTTTTTGTAAATACTTATCCTCCTCCTTTAAAGCAGTTTTGAACAGCCTTTAGAGCACTTTTTCCGTCTAGAAAGAATGCAAAATGTGTCGCTACCCCTTCTCTAGGCGGAGGTGCGCCCTATACACAGGTGAGCCATATACCCCCGAAAATAGAGTAATAAAAATAGTCCTAGAAGTTGGAGAACTCTACAAGCGCAGTAAATTGATAGGTAATTAATTTTATGAGTGAAAGAACCTCTGGAACCAGATTGTTGTAGAGAAACATGAAGTTTCCAGTCATGGACTCGGCAACAACATCAAGATGAGCGCGACGTTCATTTATCTGAGGAAAAAAAGAGGGCAAAAATCAATAATTGATTAGAAAGCAATGAAGGAACGTTTACCTGTAACTTGTAGAATTCAATCATCCGTCGTGGTGGACGTACAATAGGATGATATGAGACGTAATTCCTCTTCAGACTGATTCTTTCTGATAGGAAATCGAATTGAGGTGGAGGGGGAGCTGGAACAGTTCAATCCTATCCAATAAGAGTCTTTTACGGCAAAACTTACTGTGCATAAATATTTGGAGAAATGTTTCACAAAAATGTTTCGATGAAAGAAATGAGCTATTTACACGCTATCTTGTCGAATGTTTTTTTTCGAATTTTTTTACAATTTTGAATTTAGATTTGAATCGATTTTTTGTGTAATCGTAAACTATTCCTACGCCTTAATTTAAAACCTACGTAGCTCTTCGTGCCTTGCCCATATAACAAGTTCCTTGCTAATGAAGTATTTTCTTATTGTATGATAAATATTGATAATTAACAATATCGCTAGAATCACATTCAGACGTCTGGCTGATAACCTTACCATTTGTAATTAGGCTGAAAGTAGTAATGCAATAATTCACACCTGCACCGCGACCTACGCGTGCATTGAATAAAAAAACAAATAAATGAATACGCGAATGTAAGAATGGGTTCAACACTGGTTTATCGAACCAATCGGAGCTGTGCGCGCATTTACACAGGATATGTGTTGTATGGGCTTATCTTGACCCCATCAAATGTAAAGCAGTTACTAATGACTGGAATGTAGCGCTTGCATTACAAGTTAATATGTTCGGCGGTGTTCAAACCGGTTACTGCTGTATTCGGAGCATGCTGCCAATCAGGAAAATTTTTCCAAAGAACAACCTCGTCCATTTTCCCTCGTTTGACCTCTTTCCCCGTCGCTCATCCTACCTACCCATTTTCCTGAACTCCCAACTTTATACTAATTTTTCGGTGTTTTTCCTCAAAAACTGATGGGGAGCGGAAAGTAGCAGCGCACCGGAAGCAAAAAAAAAACCGAAAAACATCAACAACGAAACTATAATATTTTCCTCAAAAACCAGGACGACCACCACCTCTCTAGTGGCCAAGTGTGGCCCTTACTCCTTCCAGCTACCAGGTACGACCCTCTCGCTAGGAAGTCCCAAGTCCCGACGTGCCCTGGCTGTGACTGCAGCAGTTTTGAAAAGGTATTAGGTTGGTGCATAAGATTTTTTTCCCCTGTTTTGATCCTCTCCTATTTCGTTTGCATGGATGTTGGTATTTCGTCATCACGTGCGTGACGTGTACATGATACTCTTTCACCACACTAGCTATCACTCACCCACCCTGCATTTGCAGGCTATAATGCCACAATTACCAGTGCAAAACCATGTCACAGTGGTGATTGTGCGGCATTGTGGCCTTCTTCGGGTCCCAGCCCCCGTCCTTCTGGGACGATGGAATCGACAAGCTGCCTGAGCGTTGGTGTCGAGTGATGGTGCATACCTCTAATCTTCAGGCTGGTTCGCTATTGAGATATTTACAAAAAGTCGGGGAAAAGAACTTATGCACCAACCTAATAATTACAGTGTAGTTCGCTGCGGACGGTGGGGCGTGTCAGGGGATGATTTGGCGCGGTGCCAAACCCGTTCTCCACCAGCTGTTAAAGCGAGCAAGTGACAAGACTGTATCATGTCGTTCGTATCACTTGTTTCCCAACAACTGTTGTCGCGTAACTGCTTCAACAACTGGCAGAGAACGGGTTTTTCACCGTGGCACACTCATACTGCCTGACACGCCCACCGTCCGCAGCGGACTACACTATAACTTCACTCGCAATCAATTTTGGTGAGCAGCTGGTAACAGCGCAGAAGACGAACATCGTAAGCGCACCCCCCCCCCTCCCCACTCCCACCCCAGACGAAATGACGCAGAGTTGAGGCGATGCCTCTGGCACTTGAGGATACATCATCAAAGGGAACCTTTAAAACTGAAGGAGTACGACGAGTGTACAATTAAAACAGAAGGGAAACAATTTGTTGATTACAAGCTCGATAAACTATAATAAAGGATGTCTAAACAAAGAAACTCGAATTACCTTTTGCGACGTGTGTAACAAAGGCTTTTTGCCAGTTTTCGACAGTTCACTTCGCTTTTTTCGCCTTTTTACCGCTATATAACATCACCCCTGCTATAATTATAGACCGAGCACCACATTATCGTG